AAAACCCTATTCTAACTCTGAAGGCCTCTATATTATACATAACCTAATCCTGAACCTTTAAATTCATAACCAAACAAGGGGCTACTGCAGAACCGAGCGTCTGTTTCCGATGGGGTTCGTACTTGTCAGGCTCGGGTTGGATCCGCGCACGAAGCCGTGCTCAACCCAGGGCTCGCCGACGAATGCTCCAACGTACCTGAAACCCTGTTCCCTAAACCCTAAACAGGGTTTAGGGTTTAGGGTTTAGGGTTTAGGGTTTAAGGTTTAGGGTTTAGGCCCTAAACCCTAAACCTTAAACCCTAAACCCAAAACCCTTAACCCTAAACCTCAAATCCTGAAGCCTACCTAAGGAACTCTTGCTGTTGAGGGATTCTATATCGGGGGTAATGTACAGGGGTTGTATACCCATGAGGCCCTAGTGGGCTCATATTTTGAGGCCTTTCGGACCAAGGACCATCTTACCCTAAACCCTAAACCCTAAACCCTAAACCCTAAGGTTTTTGGGCCATTTTGAGCCTTGGGGATAGCTGCGTGGTATAATCCCAGGAACCTGGAGCCCTTCGCTGGGGTCCTCATGAGCCCTCAAGCCTAACCCTACTTGGAGAATCATGGGACTTAGTAGGGTTTAGGGTTTAGGGTTTAGGGTTTAGGGTTTAGGGTTTAGGGTTTAGGACTTAGTAGGTACGGTTGATGATACAAATCCTTCATTACCCATCATACGGAATATTACATAGTTCCCATAGCTTACGGTTCTTAAGGTAATGCAGGATTTATATCATCAACGGTATGGATATAGGCACCTTAAACTACGTAAAACAAGTAAAGTACGCCAACCCTAGTTACCAGGTCCCATGATCCTTTAGGTACACAAAACCCCCAAACCCGCCACTGCCCTCAGCAATGTCGAAGCCCCGAGAACCCAGACACCGTAGACCAAAACCCAAATGTAGTGCCCCAATAGAACTCTTCCTTGCACGATGCCTGAAAGGATACCTGATACGAATCGTTACAGAAATCCTAAATTTCGTGGCAAGCTGCAAGTACTCCGCATCCCAGCGCACTTTGACGTGAGTAGCGAACTGAGATGGCAACAGGTAGTCCGGAAAGAGAGGTTGCGCAATATCTTTGAAGGCAGCAGTTGTAAATGGCACCTCCTCCCAAACAGACTCATTTAGGTTGCCATCAATCGTGATCGATTGTCCATCTGCAAGCCGTCTGGCAACATACTGGCTCGGATAGGCGTCCAAGAATAGGAAACCTCTCCCTTGCTGAGGGACTTGCAGCAAATTCACCGAGTCATTCTGCCCACACTCCGCTGCGTCTGTCGCCTTAGAGAGCACCTTCCCACAAAAGAATACGATGACACAAAGTGCCGGGAAATAGTCGCCACCCGCCATTTGAGCAGATGCTTCTGCAACAGCACTTAAATTGCTCTAACCAGGGGCTATATCTGACTTGAAAGGCGTGAGGCTGCAGGAGCCCAGCATTGACACTGCTCACTGGTTCGGTAATATAGGGGCCTTAAAAATTAGAATGGAGTCTGTGGGGCCCATTATACTATGTTTGTAATAAGGACCCCTAGAAACAGTGTTGGTAATGAGGTAGGCCTTTATAGTAACTTTTGGCTGAGTGCATGTTGACTGGTCAGCTAAACCCTAAACCCTAAACCCCTAAACCCCTAGTGCATGTTGACTGGTCACCTAATGTAAGTTAGGCAGCGCCTTGATCAAAAGTCGCGGGTGATAGAACCATGCCCGGGCTCGCTGCACGGCTTAATTTAGGGTTCAGGGTTTAGGGTTTGGGGTTTAGGGTTTAGGGTTTGGGGTTTAGGGTTTAGGGTTTAGAGTTTAGGGTCTAAAGTTTAGGGTTCAAGGTGTAGGGTTTAAGGTTTAGGGTTTAGAGTT